TCGCTGGGGTCCGGGCGGAAGACAGCTGCCCCCGTGCGTAGAAACAGGCGCCGCACCAGCCCGGTTAGGCATGCCTCTGTCCGCGCAGCAAGCCTGCAGGGTAGGTGCTCGCTCGCTCTGTCGTACGAAAGGAAAACCTGAGGCCTAGAGAAGTTAACTTGCCCAGGATCGCACAGCTAGGGAGGGCGTGCAAAGACAAGGTCGCTCTGTGTTCAGGAGCACGCTGCAAGGGGCGCAGCAGGCAGGGGCGCAGGCAGGAGTAGTGCAGAACAGGTGAGTGTTCCCCGCATTGAGGTAGACATGCTTGCGAGGCGGGGGAAGCAGAGGGCACGGGCTGCCCTTGCAGTCCGCACCCCTCCCAGCCTGAGCCTCTGTGATTTGAGCTGGGCTCGCAGGGAAGGCTAGGATTTCAGGCGGGGAGGACGGCTCCCGGCTCAGGGAGAGGCGGCCGTGCTCGCCTGTTCAAGGAACGGAGAGGTGTCCTTGCATCTGAAAAAGATGGCTTTGGTCTGGAGGCTGCAGGAGAGAGGAGGCTGAGGGAGAGTTGGAAGGGGTTCCAACCCCTGGACTTCCAGGGCATGGGTGAGGAGCTGTTGAAGAATCTGGGGCTCTCTTACCATCAGCTCCTCTCAAGCACAGAGGTTTTGGCTTCCCTGGCAGGAGTCGGGACAGCCCCGTATTGTCCAGCCACCGTTTAATAAGGAGCTGGGCTTGAGCAGAAAGAGTCGCCACCTCCCACCAGGTAGTGTGAAAGCCTTACACCAGGCCAGGTTAAAGTGGTTAGAAAACGGGAGGGGGAGGCCTCATTGTTTACAAAGTAGGAGTTTTCTCAGGCCCTTTCTGCAATGCAAAGATTGTCATGATGGCCGACAGGTGCGCTTGGAGGCTGGGTGAGTAGGACTTCAGTGGATGGGGAGCTTCTGGAGCAAACTCTTGGAGGCTGGGATCATGATGGGGACATGATGGCGGGGGGTTGGGGGGGCGGAGGTGCTAGCCCAGTGCAGTCCCTGCAGCCCCTGGAAGTCAGGAGTGCCATGCACATCCAGCTCTGCCTGTCCAGTTCCTCTGAGGCCCAGCCAGAGCTCTTCTTCAGGTCAGAGGTCATCTGGTCCAGCCTCCCTGCAAACAGCCAGATCCTCTGGCCCCTGCTCAAACTCTCCTGTCGCGCTTTCTGAGGAGTCCGCCCATGTTCTAGCGCTCAGTGACTTTC